TGACAAACTGAAAAAGGTTTGTTAAGATATTTTATACACTATGTATGTTAACATTGTTAACAAAATTTCAAAACTACTTTTTTTAATCTTTCATTGCATGCATTGTATTTCAAATTTAAACTTTTACTTCATACATCTTAGAAATCTTTTAAAAACTAAATGTGATACTCCTTATTTGAACTGTGATATTGATTTGAGGAGGAGTGTGTGGACAAAAGATACACCCAAATTGAACTTTTACAATCATGAATTTCTTGAACATCTTGTAAGTAAGATATTGTCTGTCTATGCTGTATCTCCTTAGTCTTATTGATCTATGTATTATGGTTTGAGGTCTTTTTGTCCCAATGTGAGGTGGTTAAGCATTTTTTGTGTTATTAATAAGTACCTGTTAGATATTTGGATACACTTATTACAAAATGGTAAAACTGTGCCAGATGCTGTATGAATTATTCAGGAAAGATAAATATTTTGTAATGAAGTGCATTTGTTGATCAAAGCACACAGGTAATGAACAAAGGATAATTTTTATGAGCTCATGTATTTTTTATTCAGTCATATTTTATTCAGTATTGAACTGTGCTTGATAATGCCACTCTTATGTCATAAACCTTTCAAGTTCCCTGTAAGTTAATAACATTTTTGGTTTTGGCATTTTAAGTTACAATCAAGGGAAAAAAAGAGTTATCAAATTTTTGAGCTGCACTTACCTTTACTTGCCACTGGGATGTATGGCTGTTAATTTAATAGTTTCTAATTATTGTTCTCAAACAAGAATTAAAATCATCTCTGCGTAAGGTTACATCTTGGTTACATCTTGTATCAGTATGACAATCTTTCTAGTAACATGCATGCTTAGACCCAAGAAAAATTAATTTTGATCATGATACCATGTGAGTTAAAATAAAATAAATCCGTCATTCCTAGCTCAAAAATAAAGACAATTTTGGAATATCCCTACCCCGCCTTGGATAGTGATTGCTACACCCTGACAGTGAGCCAAAGTCTGATAATGATCTGAACCTCATTGAGCAATGCGTGATGTGAGCGCTCAAGACATTCCTGTTTGTGGCCACGAATAAGGCGGCCACAGTCAGCTTAATCTGACCCGACTCACAGAAGATCCTTTTTTGGGCAATATATGATACCCGACGCGCCCAGGGTGTTAGCAGAAGCCAAGAACCTGCTCACCACATAATCCCTGCCAAGCCAAAAACGCTCCAGCCACATGTCTGCACAATTGTAGCTACAGTCCTTATAGCCGTGAGATCAACTCCCGGCCGGGACAATTTTTTTTTTAATTTTTTTGTTTTGTTTTGTCGTGGGGGGACAGAAGGACAGAAGACCAGCCGACATGGTGAGGTGGACTTGACCGCCTACTCGGCAGACCCCCCCCCCCCCTTGCAAGAAAAAAGTTCGCCCCACCAGGACTCGACCCCCCGGCTGAGCACCACGCCCCAGCGCGCTCGCCACTCGGCTGTCGGCTCCACTTGTCAGAGAAGAGTTCAGAACTCGGTCCTGCTTTACGAGTCTTGGTCTCCCGGATTGCACGCGTTCAGGTAGGGTCAAGTCCACCTCCTCGACGCGCTGCAGCCCGGGTCGACTCCTGGCCAGAAACAAGGAAAATGGCCAGTAAATGAGCCCCCCGGGCGCGAGGAGGTTAGGTTAGGCTAGCGGAGCGTGCATTTATTGGCCTTTTGGTTAAAATTTCGACCCGGGCTGCAGCGCGTCGAGGAGGTTGACTTGCTCGATCTGAACGCGTGCAATACGGCAGATCAACACCCGTAACGAAGGCCCGAGTTCTGACGTGTCCGCCCACAGGAGCTGGCGACAGCTGAGTGGCGAGCGCGCTGGGTTGTGGTCCGGAAACGGTCGGCTCAGGGATCGAATCCTAGCCGCGGCCCTTTTTTTCCGCTCTGTTGATCCGCTCCCGGCGACATGAGCGTCTCGGCTGCTGCTGACTCCCGAAGACATGATCAACAGAGCGGGAAAAAAAGTTCTACGGCCGCGGGATTCGATCCCTGGGCCGATGGTTCCGGGACCACACACCAGCGCGCTCGCCACTCAGCTGTCGCCTGCTCCTGTGGACAGAAACGTCAGAACTCGGGCCTTCGTTACGGGTGTTGATCTGCCGTATTGCACGCGTTCAGATCGAGCAAGTCCACCTCCTCGACGCGCTGCAGCCCGGGTCGAAATTTTAACCAAAAGGCCCATAAATGCACGCTCCGCTAGCCTAACCTAACCTCCTCGCGCCCGGGGGGCTCATTTACTGGCAATTTTCCTCGTTTCTGGCCAGGAGTCGACCCGGGCTGCAGCGCGTCGAGGAGGTGGACTTGACCCGACCTGGACGTGTGCAATCCGGGAGACCAAGACTCGTGAAGCAGGACCGAGTTCTGAACTCTCCGCTGACAAGTGGAGCCGACAGCCGAGTGGCGAGCGCGCTGGGGCGTGGTGCACAAGAGACCCACGTCCCAGGGATCGAGTCCTGGTCGGGGCGAGCATTTTGTTGTTGTTTTTTTGGCAGAGGGGGGGGGGGGCTGCTGAGTAGGCTGTCAAGTTCACCTCCCTATGTCGGCTGGTCTTTTGTCCTAACCCTTGGTCCCCGCGCCGCAATCTACTAAATAGGAAAAAAAATGAGCCTCGGTCAGTATTCGAACCGACAACCATCCGCGTCCCGGGCGCGCGCTCTACCGACTGAGCCAATGATGAGGCTTTTGCACAGGTGAAGCTTATCTCCGATGTGCCTCACACCCCGGAACATTTGGCTGGCAGAAGGGCAAAAGGGTTCCGTCGACTAGATTCGAACCGCAGCGACAGTTTGCGTACCGGCCCATCACATCCCCGGCCCCTGCCCATGACATCAGGTGGCTCAGGTGGCTGCCGGACGCCGTGAGGTGGGCGATGGGTTACCTACCTCTCAGGCGGACCGATCCAAGAAAAAAAAGCGTGGTGAAATTAAGTATTTGTCCGGTGGCACACAATGACACAGTGCGGGATCAATCCAAACAATTTCCAGCGATTAATTTCAATTTTTATCCAAAATGCTGAGGGTACATTTCTCTGTGCCGGGAGTTGTGTTTGTGAGGTGTGCAAAACTGTTTGGGGTGCAAATAAAGTGAAACAGTAAAATGAAGTTGATTTGTTTTATGCCTTGTCCAGCTTTACATTTATTATGCTTTGCAATTTAGTTGATACAAATACCTGGTGTTAACAAAAGTTAACTTGAATGTTCAGGATTCAACATAAAAAAATAGCACAAGTTTTGAATGCCATACAACAATATCAGAAATTAATCACCACAAATGAGGCAATGGGCCAGCCACACACCATCCAATCGTTACACTTTACTTTAGACTATTATTTGTACTTAATTAGATTTTACCTGAAATGTTTGACTGTGGTTCCAAATTTTTATTCTCTGATGGAATTAGTTTTTCAATCCGATAGTCTTCTATTGTAAACAGTACTCTAAAATTAAAGTAAAATAGACATGTTACGTAGCTACCAAGTACAGCATGAATATGGTCTAGTTGTTTGATGTCTGATCTTCTTAACTGATAACCCATATTTAGCTACGGTGTTGCCGGCAAATTGAGAACACTATTCTACAATGCCTAGCCTTGAAGAAAAATACAGAGTCTACAAATTTTCACTACAGTAGAAGTATACAACTATTTCAAAATATCTAGAGCGCGACTGTTAACAGGATATGAAATGAAGTGTGTGACTGAAAATGAGGAGTAGATCAGACAACAAAATTATAACAATGTTTGACTTCTGTTAGAGAACATTGGAACACAGGTAAGTTCCTTCAGGGTTGTTTTTTCGACAGAAGTTTAATGTAACCATATCTGTCATCTATTGCCTACTGAGTACCTAACTCTATAAGCTAGAAACATGCATTACTCATAGTTTACCTTAGATCATTTAATTACAACAAGGGACAAGATTGATCTCCATAAAATTATTATCCCAGTTTGAAAACACACGTACCGGATAATTTTCATGCTTCAGTTCTTAGAGTAAACTAAATAAGAAACATTTTAAAGTATGAATATAAAGAGTATCAAAGAAAGATTCTTATAATTACAGAACATGGTCAGAATAATAAGGGGAGGGAATAGAGAGAAAACAAAATAAATAAGAGGGTCTTTAAAATGAACATAAAAGGGAACAGTAAACTGATAAGAATATTGAATAGGAACTTAAGCACGAGCCAGTTAAGAATTAACAGATGAAATAATAAGACTTTACAGTAAACAAGAACATTTTTTTCAAAACCATCAAAATCAATTATCAATCAATAATTAGAAATATAAATTGTAAAAAGCCTCAAAGGAACAAAAGAGACAACTCAGACTTCAGGAGATATGGCAGAGATGAAACAAGAGACATTGAGTCGGAAGTAAATCACAGGACAGTTACGTTTTGTTTTGCACTCATAAAAAGAAATGTCATAGCCAAAGTCAAATGACATTGATAAAATTGGAAGGAAGGAGAGGAATATTGGAGGGTATAATGAGAAAGTCGCTGACTTACATATGAAAGCAACTCGATGGAAAAACAAAAAACCCACTGTGATGCTTTGTCAAAATTATACAAGAGAAACCATAAAATTTATTGAAATTTTTGGGTGAATCCATCCTACAGATAGTGAAAACACTTCACTTTCCTTACTTTCCAAAACTAAATGCACCAATATTATTAACTTACTGGAGCTACTGATTATACTACAATACATTGTCAGGAAAAATACTGTAAAATAAAGATGCAAGGTATTGATTTATTAACTTAGAACTTGCTCAAAAACATGTCATTTCTAATCCGCAAAGCAGTTGAGAGGTTCTACTTCATGACAAAGCATAGCACTGTTGTGAGTCAAATTCAATCCTTGCTTATAAAATAAATCTCTCATTTTACACAGCCTACTTATTTTCATTCTCATCTCACTTCTCCTCTTCATGAACACCATTGCTGCCATTTTGTGCTTCTGCTTCCGAAATTTTCGGAGTGGAATCTTGCCCATTCACTCCATTAGCTCTGCCGTCAAAGTTGAATTGATGTGACAGTGATGATTTTCCATTAGGTGTTGGGGATGAAGAAAATGGGGAAGAGGAAGTAGACGATCCCTTGGGCATGAATGTAGTCCACTCATCAGTCTTTTCATCAAGGTACTCAATGCTGTTCAGGAATGCTTTACCTAGGATACAAATAACGCATGTGTAAGTTGAAGATTAATTATAAAAGCCAGATTAATTAAGAAAATTTTGATTTGAAACACACCTGAAAAACCGCCTACAGCATAAAGGCGACTGCCAATCACAGCTACTCCCACATTTGCTCTGGGAGTTGTCATGTTTGGACCAGGTGTCCAGGTTTTTGTTTCTGGATCGTAAATTTCTGTACTGCTCAGAGCATGTGTTCCATCTGAACCACCAACCACATATAACTTTCCTGCTCAAGAAAAATAAGAAGTTATAATAACTTTTACTTTTACAAAACTAATCTACATTTCATGGATTTGCAAGAAGCTGATTTGAAACACACCTTTGAAATGGGCAACACCACATCCACGACGTGCTGTTATCATCTCACTGGTAAAACTCCATTCATCAGTTTCAGGATCGTAAATTTCAACTGAATTGAGGCAGTTCCATGCATCACACCCACCAACAGCAAATACTTGACCATTCATGGCGCATACTCCAGCTTGGTAGCGACCTAAAAACCATTTGTACATGCAAATTGGTTACACTAAAATATTTTATTTAAATGAGTAGAAAACATGGGATTTATTTAAAATGACCTGTTTGAAGAGCTGCCATGCTTATCCACTTGCCAATATCTGGATCAAGAACGTCGCACTGCCGAATTCCAACTTGTCCGTTCCATCCACCGATGCAGTAGATTTTGTCTCCAAGATTGCACACACCTGAAAAAAATTGTCATTGTAACACTAACCCACAACAGACTTATAAGTTCTCCAATACCCGACAAAGCCCAAAGTCATGGTAAGGTGCATCGGTGTTTTTAAGAGAGATATAATGCCTTGAGAGTTGTGTTATTAACAGTGATCTCAATCTTTTTCTTTCTGAGGGAATAAACCCTTGCAAGGTTCATAATCGAGGCATTATATCATAGGACTTCATCTGTAAACAATTTTGTGAATCAAGGTGAAAGAAAACTGTCCAGCATGCAAAGCCCTGCTTTGGCAAGGATTGCACGTTGTACTTACTCCAAGGTGGTACACAAACCGCAAAAGACCAGGTCTCCTGCACTTTACAATTACAAATATATTACCACAGGCAGTGGTTATGAAGCCCATGCCTCAGCAAGCATTTCAAGCAGGCGAGCTGAGGTATGAGCAGTCATGAACCCTCATGCACTTGCACCAATCACACCATCAGGAGCATTTCCCTTTACAATGACCCACCCTATGTCATGTATCAGCACATTAATAATTGGAGCTTACTCACCGGATGGTTAATAAATGCTAAATTAATCACTGATGAGCTCTCTCTTGTAGTTCAAAACTTCCACTGAAACTGTTAGCGTGTCCCTTGCCTCTCACTATGCTTTAACACAGCCGTCTTTCATGCTCCTAGAATGCCATACACTTGGTGGTGCTCATGATTATGATGAATGTTCAAAGCTGTCTACCATGGAACAGTTTTACACATAACAGTACACAGACCAACTGGTTCGCTCTCATACCTTTGTGACCAACCAAATTCCTTTCTTTGATGACAAATGCAAAGGTAAATAGAGGTTAACCTACTTACAACTGCCTGTAACAGCTGCATTAAAATGGAACCCCAATTTTATACTGTGTTTCCATAATTTTTCAAACAATATATTAAACTCTATAATGATCAAGAGCATTATAAGAAAATAGGAAACGGATGGATTGGTGAAATTACCATCTTCGAATTGTAAAAAAAATTTGGTTATTTAAGACTTGTAAAAGCATAAAACTGGAGTTTTTGCAGCTAACTTGACCGAATAAAACCCACCTCATTTTCAAAGGAAGCATATGGCATTCAGCATAACTGATAAAAAGTACTAGCAAGATATCAAGTGAACGCCAATCAGAACAGATTTTGTGAGAGCTAGTTAAGGCTGCTATCCTGCTGCACACAGAGATGCTAAAAATCTTCTTTCTTCAGAGACCCCGTAACAAAAAAACGCTGCAAAGTAAACCAACAGACAAGTGTTTTAATTTCAGGAAATGGCTCAAGGTCTTCACGAACATTAAAATGGAGCAACCAACAGCTGAATCAAGAAAAATAAAATCAACACCAAAACTATTTTCTGGTCCCTCATTTTCAGCAAAATAAGCAAAAGAAAAACAAAATAAGATGACAAAGTATTAAGATTACTTCCCTAAAGTCAGCTGATTCTGGCAATTTAATTTTTTAACTCCCACCTACTGAGCTGCACATGTGAAACCAAAAGAACTTTATAAAGAAACTCACCACTGAAGAGCCCACAGGCCTTAAAAGTCTGCAAACAGAAAATATACACACAGGATGCTGTTTGCATCTCCTTGTTTCCCTCTCCACTCCAGGAGTTGTATGTCACTTCCCATATCATGCACATTGTCCTAGACACACCAATAACCCAAACCAAAATCGTGACAACAGGATGGATGATAATTGAACAAAAATTTTGAAAAAACAGTCCAAGAAATTAAAGCTCAATTGCCATCAAGAAACAACAAAAAACAAAATCAGAATCGATTAGAAGACAAAATGCAAAGATATATTCTTTGAGACAGCAGAAAGTAAAGAAAAGAATTAGAATACAAGAGTAGCTGGCCTACTATAAATATTAAAGGATCAAGCAGTACAGAAAAGTGATGTTATCAATATTAACATAAGATCCAAAAAAACATATCAAGAAATGTTCTTTGACGCTGATACTGCTGAGAGTTGAAGAGCGAACAATTTATTAGTACAATAATAGGGGCAGGGGGGAGGAGTAAAACAACAGATAGAAAAAAAAAGAGACTCGGACTGATGGCAATATATTGTTTTAGTGGTGGATCTCAAAAGAGAAATGATTTTGGGAGGACACAGAAGCAATAAAATGTGTAAAAATCTTGGAGGTTTCAATTTTAAAATTATTGTTCAATTTGCTCCACAGTTCCTTCATTTAACTCAAGTCTCACATAGATCTCATATACCTTATAAAATCATGTTCATTAATGGAAAATGCTCCTGAATACCTCTACTCAAGCAAGCACTACAAACTAGCAACACTTACCCACACTATGACAGAGCCAGTCATTATAATGAAAATTGCACAACAATAAGAGCTTGATTGAAAAGTGCCATACGAATTAAATACATAACATTGGATTAAGAATTCAGAATGCAATTAAAATCTTGAATATTGAGATGCTGCATAGAAAATTTTGACATGGGTGCTAATAAAGTCATTATCATGACTAGCTCAATATCATCATCAACAAGAGCAAGGGAGGACTTACAGCATTGATGCATACTTAAAAGGTTGCATCACAACTAGAAATTCTCACACTAAATTCTTGCAAGAACTTAATAAGTATCTTTCCAAGCTCCAAAGGTACAGCAGTATGTAGAAAGTACGTACAATTTATCTTTTAAAGTGAGGATTTCCAATTGTGAAATAGTCAACCACGGATCGTGGGATTAAAAATTAAGAACATAAGAGTTTTGATACTTTGTCTTTGTAATAACTTGCCTGTGTGGGACCGTGCTAGTGGTAGGGATGCCACCTTAGTCCACTTCTGCGTTTCTTGACTGTACTTCTCAACTGTGTCAAGTTCAGTAGTACCATTACTGCCTCCAACAGCATACACTTCACCCCGGACCACGGCAATATTGAAGCGTCCTCGTGCTTCTCGCATTGGTGCAACTGTAGCCCAGATGTTCCATTCAGGGTCATAGGACTCGACACTCTTCAAACATTCAACTCTGTCATATCCGCCTGTTAAAAAAAGTAAAAAGAAATATTCAAAACAAATTTTAATAAAAGAAAAAACAACAACAAACAAACAGGCACTATATTTTAAAACAGTAATTTAGGTCTACTCACCACAAACCAGTAACTGCTCATTTAAATTAGCACACCCACTTGAGCATTTGACAGAACTCATGTGGGCCATGACACAGAGAATGTCAGGCTGTTGCTCCTTCTCTTGACTTTCGGCACGACTGTTGGAGACAGGTGTAGTTGCAATAGGAGATGGTGTGGTAGCAGTTGGCTGATTAAGACGCAAAGTTACTGACATGGACACTAAGCGTGAGCCAAATGCAATGAGAGCTTGGAATGCGGACTCTGAAACAAATAAGGTAGGAAAAGTTAATAGCTGAACCAAAGGTTCAATTAAAATTAGTCTTGTAAATGTACACACCAGATACTTTGCAGGATGCAATAAGAATGCTTTCGAATTTCTCATCAATTTCAGGTTGTTCACCAATATCACGAGCCAAAAATAGAACCCTTGGTTTAGCAGGTTGTAGGGGTGCTTTGCGTCGAGTATTCTGAAATATTAGCAAACATTTTTGAAGATTAAAATAACTGGTAAGCAGTCAAGAGAAAACTAATCATCAAATACTGTGAAACACACCTTGGAAGCTGTAATCTTTTTGCTCATTTTCTTGTAGTCCTGCACCATTTCTGTATCATTGCTGTCACCACTGGGGAGATCAGAGCAGTCCTGAAGTGAGTTATCAAATGCTAGGTATAGCATGTGGTCCTGAAATTTAAGCATGTATTAGTAATCAACATAAACTGATACAATTAAAAATGACTTTGTTGCCTGGTACTAAAATACCTTTTCTGCTAAATCATCAAGGTCTGAGGTACCAGTTTCACATTGCTTCCTTATCCATTCAAGTACCAATTGGCACACAGAATCACCGCCATCAAGGGTCATTTCTTGACGAGTTTGCCTGATCAGTTCAATGCGAAGACAGGTCAAAGCCAAAAATGGAGCTGTTTGCCTTACAGCTTCAAACTGATTAAAAAAGAATTACAATTACAACAAGTCACACAAGACTTTAAAATTAGATTTGTGTGAAAATGATAATACCTTTTCTTCGATAAAGGAGTCAACCCGAGATACCAGAGATTTATGACGGGTGATACCAGGCAGGGATCGAGTATCAATACAAGATTCAACAGTTAAATTTTCCATGAGGTGGCGTGCGCATTCCTGGACTACTGGTTCCATTTTCAAATGAGATGCAGCCAGGTATATTGCTTTCACTTGCCTTGGCTCAGCAGACAATCTATAAACACAAAAAAATTAGGAACAGGCCGAAAAGTAAAGAATAAAACATGCTTTTTTGAATCTTCGGAAATTACTTGGCTGTGTATGCATAGTCAATAAGTTTCTCAATAGCAGATCTTTCAAAGCCACCATTGAGCTTGTATGTTATGACAGTTTCCCGAGCATTGCCTTTGGCTTCTTCTTCAGAGGAAAACATTTCAAATAAGTATGAGCTGGCACTTGCAAGTACAGCTCGGTGGGCGTGCAGCTCTGCGTTACCAACCTGGAGGATGAGTCCAAGGATAAATAAAAATAAAAGTTCCACACATAATTATGCACTATCCAAAGACATTTAAAAATACGTACATGGAGAATAACATCACAGAAATGTCTGTTCTTGCGCATCATATTTAATGCCTGAAGAGTGCGGCAATGATGGTCAGTATCATCGAAGATAAGAGGTCCAGGAGCATCCTGGGCCTCTTCATCTTCTCCGAGGACACCACCAACCATAGTGGGTGGCTTCCCGTTGGAGGTAATTGCTGGTGGAAGTTCTGGAAAAAGAAAATAGATACATAGAATAATAAAAGAGATATACAAAATCAGGACACAGAAAACATGCCATTTATACTTCTGAAAGTAAGACAAAGAAGGTAGAATAACTAACCTGTCTGAGTGCGCATTTTGAAGAAGGATCAGTACAGACGGTCTTTGAGATCAGGATGTCACAACGCTAAGCGTTCTACTCCACGAAACAACCTATCAAAGCAAAAGCGTTGTGTGAATAAGCCATCTTAAGATATGATACACTACATGTATCAAGACATTATTAATTGACAATATAGTGCAAAGTGAAACTAAAATTTACATTAAATAACAAGTAAGTTACTCAAGAATGGGTGCAATAGAAAAGCGCTTCCCATGGAATTAATTTTGACACATATCTGACAAGTGGCTGAATTTACCACAAAGCTTACTATAAAATAATAAATTACATGCATCTATGATAAAACTGAAAGTGCTACCGGTAACAGGGGACAAGGGGCG